GGACCCTAAGCTATGGGAATTATTGTATATTCCTTACTATGGGTAGTGCAGGATTTTTACCATCAACCGTAGCTCTTAAGGCCCAGCAACGATGGAGAGAAAGCCAGTCGGACCGAGGCATCTGGGGCATTTGGTTCATCACCCGGCGCCGCCGCCCGGGTCCCAGTTTCGGCTTTTCTGGCGAGGTACCCTACACCCTAAAACCCTAAAACCCTAAAATTTAAAACCCTAAAACCCTAAAACCCTAAAACCCTAAACCCTAAACCCTAAAACCCTAAACCCCAAACCCTAAACCGGAGGGGCAGAAGCGACAGGACTTCGGACGGCGGGCTTCGGAAGAGCTGTCAGCCGGTCCTCTCTGCAAGTGCTGGCGAGCTGTCCGCTTGTCCTGTCTTGGTTGTGTAGCCATGCTTCGGTTTAGGGTTTAGGGTTTAGGGTTTAGGGTTTAGGGTGATAATACCGCACCCTAACCCCCCAGGTACCTACCATACAGGGTACTAGAGCCCCTAGGACCCTATATAGGAGGTACCTGGGGGCTTAGGGGTAGTCATGGAAGTTGTCTTGCTCAGCCGTGAACAAAGGGCCAGGACTAGACTTGATATACAACTAGGTTCCTGAGTAGTACCCTTTTGCCCTTTTTCTTTTAAGGTCCCCTTACTAAAACCGAATAGTAGGAAAAAGGGTATCCTTATTATAAAGGTGTCACTCAGAAACCTAGACAGGTATTTCATCGTCGCAAAACAAAGACCGCGTGCATCAATGCACGAGTACCTACAAGATGAGGGAGCCTGGCAGCAGTGGTGGCCGCCTTCAAGCCCTAAACCCTGAATCCCTAACCAGTGGTGGCCGCCTTCAAACCCTAAACCCTGAATCCCCAACCCCAAACCCCCCATGCCCCTATAGTTGCGAGAGGAACCCTAAACCCCATTCAGCTCCATTTTGCTCACTGCTCAGGCTTTTCAACTGCCATGCTGGTCTGTGGAACTTCCGAAAGGCGTGGTCACAAGAAAAGAAGGACGGCAATTGCTTGTGCCGAGTTCTCCTGCGGCCTAGGGTTCAGGGTTTAGGGGTTGGGTTGATGTGGTGTGTAATCGGGGTTTACGATTTCGGGTTAGTGTGTAGTTAGGGTTTAGGGTTTCTGTGTTGTGTAGTTTGGGTGCAGGTTTTCGGGTTATTCGTGTGTAATTGGGGGTTTTATGGCCTCGTCATATCATTTCGGTCGAGAGGAAAACAATCGAAATTAGGTTCCTCATGGAAACGACCTGTGCAGGTTTCCGTCTTGAAGACGCATCGTCTGCTTTCGCTTGTTTACAAGTAATTTCCCAATTGACCTAGGCATTCCAGCATATGTCTGTATGTACTCCTGTATTTAGTAGCTTGCGCACGAATTTGGTACGTTCCTGTGACCCGTTGTGTATATTACCAGCAGTACTCAGGAGAGGAGGATAGCATAGGGGCCTTCATAATTACCTATACTATTTTGGGGGCATATACTTATAATGGAATACCCCGAAACCTTACTCTAATTATTAAGGCCCCTACATATTAGATGCTGCAACAGCACTCGGCAACAGCAATGGCAACAGCACCAGAAGGTCGACGGCAACGGGTGGTTGCTTTAATGTAGGGGCCTTAATAACTAGAATAGGGTGTTGGGGTTCCTTGTTATAGTTATATAGTATACCAAACCCCCAAGCCCTATTCTAACCATCAAGCTCAGCAGCAGCAGAAGCAGCGGAAGCAACATGCGGGAAAGTGCAAGCAACTGTCAGAACAGCCGTAATACTGATAGTGAAAGTAGCTGCAACACTATAACAATCGTCACAAAAAGAACGGTCATCGTCATTATCACCATCATCCGCATCCTGATCCTCCTCCTCATCACCATCATCAGCAGCAGCAAAAGTTTCAACCAATGGCCCTGAATGATATCACACACAATACTGTCAGATTCGTTGGTAGTCACATTGAGCCGGATGCTCCGCCGTACCTGCTGCCCAACGTCCCGAGACTATCTAGACATTCCAGCATTCTGATGTTGTGCGTTTCAAGTTCCAGCATTGTGCCATGACGGGAGGACTGGTGTTGCGACCGGGAGCATCTGGGTTGCGAATCCGAGCCTGATGTGGTGGCCGGGGCGCCCTGCCTTCGGGTTGCGGTTTTGGGTTGAGAATCTCAGCAGGCACCCCGAAACGCAGATTAAAACAACGTGTAACCGTGTAAACAACCCAACCCGGCTGTGGTGATACAAGCTCCCCTCTGCATGATATACGACCTGTGGAACAGTAACAACCCCTAAGGGTCCATGTGCCCAAATAGATATACTTTGGCCTTAAAGTAGTCCCTATATAAGCACTTTGGGGCCAATGTATATACTATTTGGGTACATGGACCCTCAGGGAACACCATCAGCAAGCATGATCTTGCTGACGCGGGTAGGAACCATGATGGTCATGGCGATGAACGAAAACAAGAAGATGATGCCGATGATGCCTGATGA